TTCTGGGTCTACCCCCCGCCTTCATCTCTCTTCTCCTTTCCATTATTCTTTTGCACAGAGAACTCACTAAGAAGAGGAAGCAGGGACTAGGGCAGGCAGTGAAGCATTCTCGAGCAAATTACTATGCTATGGGGTGTTGAGTTCGAACAACATGGCGTTATTATGTAGCCACAAACCCTTTGGCCCAAAAAAAAAAAAAAATCAGCCACAAACCCATCCACCCTGTAACAAGACATGGATAACGAACGTCACAGACGCAGGCACTGAAGCATTCATATTGACAATAGATTGTGCCGTCGGTGTGTCACTGCACAAGAAATTATCGCCAATCTTTTCAGCAGACAAGAAGGAATCTAGAACAATGAGAAAATTCACTGTACAGAACCCAAAGCACTCGCTGAGAGGCAGAAGGCAGGTGGATTTCCATTTTTCTTTGTAACTTCACTGCTTCAAATCTTTTCACCCTGTTGTCGCTTTCGCTCACCGTCTCTCTTGCTCTTGTTGTTCGGAAGACGGAGATGCGAAAGGAACACCGTTGCCGTGGGTGGAAGACGATACGACGTCGCCGACAAGAGAGGGATGCATGGAGTGAAGGGTAGTTTGGTTTAAATGACAGGAGTAATTTTTCAATATCAGGCATGGTGGTGTTGAGTAATTTCATTAGGTTGGTAGTGTTACTTAGATTTTATCTCATTACATCGTACCAAAAATAAAAGTTTGGAATTATCCCCAACACTAATCTCACATATCAAACAGGGCCTGAGAATTTTCTTCCCAGAAGCAGTTACCGGTGTGCGTGCCGGACTCGTCGAAACAAATGCAATATCGTCAAAATCAACATACTGAACATGGGATACGAAACAGAAATTTTACAGGCATCATACCCACACCTCACATTACGGATCACCCCGTTTAATTGCTCTCCTTATAGAGCGCTAACTAGTCAATTCACACGGTTAAGAGGGAGTTCTTTTTGTTTTAAAATATTTTGCTCCAAAATGAAATGTGTTTATATTAAAATTTTGTTTTCTGGAATGAACCTCAGACAGAGCTTAAATCAACAGGAAAGGATACCTGTCGATTGGTGTGATTGTGGAGCAGCCGCAGAGGGCTTGCCCAACACTGGTAGCCTGATCCTGCTTCTCCTCTTTCTCCAGACAAAGAAGAAAATGACACAAAAGCCCAAAATCAGCATCGAACCGAGCGCCGTCCCTAAAACTAGTCCAGTTCGTGTAGATGTTGTCCTACTCGGTATGGAAGACGATGATGCCGTGGTCGACGGAGGAGAGGCGTAATAGGTGGGTTCAAGCGGTGGAGCCGATGAAATTCCGGCTCATCGGGGGTTTCAGAAGGCGGAGGGGAGGTATAGTTCGATGCCGGAGATGGCGCCGTATCTAGTGATTTCTCTCGGTTCAACGGACTACTAACGCCCATTATCAGATGAAGCTAGCGATGAGTGTAATGTGTTTTCCTCAACAGCTCAGCTGCATCCGCTGACTCATATGGTGGACCTTGGATTAGTTATTTAGTTAAGCTTTGAATTGTCAACAGTCCTAGACACATGAAGACTTGACGAAACGACTCAGGATTACCAGCGAGAAAAAAAGCTATTGAAATTTAAAAAACAAAACAAAAAACAAAGAAGGGAGCCGCAGATTTGATGTGGGGAAGAGAGACGTGTTATTTCTCTCATCTCATCCCTGGGACATAGGATTCTGATTTCTCTTCAAATTTATACATGAGCCCCAAGTGGCCAGTAGGATTGGTTAATTTAGTGGGAAAATCAAAGTAAAATGCCTCTTATCCCTATTTATAATTTTTTTTTATAAAATTATATATATCAATAAAATTTATTGAATATATAAAGACTAAAGTTACACGTACATAAAATTTAAGAGATTTAGAGCAATAAAAAAAGATATATGAACAAGTACCAAAACATAATAAAAGTATAAAGACTAATAACTATATTCACATTCTATATTATTTAAATAATTTTCAGTCTTTCAAATTAATCTTAAAAATATATATTTAAATATAAATCTCGTGAATTTTGACAAATCAACTTTTATCAAACTAAAAGCTTTTAATCACTGAAATTGATAATAGTCTCAGAAGAGTTGTAATCAGCAATAGTGTTGAAGTAATATAATCACTAAAGTCTATGACCCCTTGAAATAATACATAATTAGCTAACAAATGTGAACATATGTTAGCACAATTAACTCACAGAATTAGCTAGCGCTCTCTCTCTCTCTCTCTGTGTGTTCGATCAACCTGCTCGATCCACCTATTTATTTAAAGGTTGTGGATAATGAAAAGGGTTTACTGGTTGTACTTGAACACTTTACACCACTGTTTTGAAAACCGGACCGGACCGGCCGGTCGGACCGGTCGGACCGTCGACCGGTCTGGTTTCCGGTCTGGTTCAAAGGAAAAAACCGTTTTCAGAGTTGAGCTGGGTTGAGCCGTTTCGAATCGGCGGTCGGACCGGGAACCGGATCCGGTTTTCAAAAACCGGACTGCTCAAAAAAAAACTTTTTTTTTATTTTTTATCAAATTTTTTTAAAAAAATGACTAATTTTTTTAATCATTTGATATTATAGTGTATCATATAGCTTGTTAAGTCATAATAAACTTAAAATATTTAAGTTTTTTAAGTTAAATAGCAATTTTATATGTATTTCTTATATTTAAATTATTATATACATATATAATTTTTTTTAATTTAATTATTACGTCACCGGTTGGACCATTGGTCCAACCGGTTGAACCATGCGAACCGTGAACCGCTGACTTTTCCGGTTCAATGTCCAGTCCGGTTCTGAAAACACTGCTTTACACACACAGACAAACACCCATGTGGGCACTTTTAGTTATAATTACAGCTTCAGAATTTACTTTAAATTAAAAAAAAAGATGAAATAAGTATAAAACTGAAACAGATTGAAGGTGATTTAACTTCCTTGCAATTTTAATGCACACGATGCTGCTTTTCTATTCCTGCCATGGATTCATCTTTGTGCTTCACTAGCAGGCACGTCTTACACTTCACCCTTCCCTTATTTTTTGAAGAAGAAACGTTTAGGTGGGTGAGTCAGGATTCGACATGACATGTATCCAAATTTCAATTTCAAAGAATATTTATAAAAATATTTATAGATCATCCATGTATAAAATGCTCATATTGAGAGTTAGATTTGAATTAACATCATTGTGAATAATGAGTTAAATTTTTATCAATTTTTTTGTTGACAATTTACCCTTCCTTTTCCTGCTACTATTAATTAGTTTTCTTGCTGGCCAAATTAAAAAAATTAAATAGTTTTGTTGACTTGACGTGGACAAGTCAACCATAGACATGAAGATTAAATTCCCCACCAATCCCCTCTCATCAACCAAAATTATTGCAAATATCGAAATATTGAAAGATTCAATCAATGGAGACCCCAAAAAAAGGATTATTTATTTTTTGCCTGAAAAATAAAAGATTCCATCAATGTTGTTGTGGGATAACAATGTTTCATTAATCCATAGAGAACCTTATCTCCAAGCCTAGGATTACTCCAAATCTCAGCTCACGTCTTCATTTCTTTGTACTAAGTTAATTTGTGATGTGATCATGATCTAATTACTTCAGATCAGGATGAAGCTATCAATAGTTTATCGTCTAAATTTATAATTTATAAATTATCAATACAAGGGGTTTAATTTCTTATATGAGAGGGGCTCATGAGATGCTGAACCGGATCTAGATACATACATACGTACATATTTCTTGTATACTTGTTTATTTTCCTTTCTTTTTAATGATTATCAATATAGATATGCATTTATAAATTATTAAAAATATATATCCGACCAATATTCAACTGGATCGTTATTAGTTTTTTGGCCCTTCAATTTTCTGCTATCTTCCAATCAGACAGTCAAGACAAGAAAGAAGCTTTGTTTGTAAGTAAATTCCAAGTCATTTTTTTAAAAAACCCTCCATTACATTGGCAAAAAAAAAAAAAAACAGCTAGCATCAAACTTGATTCGAAGGCCATCATAAAAAACTCAAGCAAGAGTAGTTTTGCCTATACCTTCCATGCCCCATATCCCTACAAAAAATTTATCATCCAGTCTTATCTTCAAAAAGGAGATGATTCTATCTACCTTTGATTGAATGTCTCCAATTAAGTATTCAAAATTGGATGGCAATTTAAAACATAATTTGTTCCACACAGATTTCACAATGTCTTCAACAATTTTTGCTTTATTTCTGCTCAGACCAGAGAATATTAATTAATATGCTCAGCAAAATAAAATTCCAATGAAATTAAAGGAGAAATTATCAGCAAATTAAATAAGTGTACATAATCTCTCATGTATTAAATGTGGGGGTAAGGAAAATAAAGTGGTGGGGTAGCAGCAACATGAGCCTTTGATTAAGGTATACATATTAAGTTGACATTTCTGGCTTAACCCATGACAATATGCATTACGCGCCACATATATAAGAAACAAATTAAGTTATTCGTGAAGGAGGAACTGCAACAGTAGCCCCGGAAACAGATGAAAATTACAAATATCATGTAAAGTGATATTTATCCCAATTCATTGTTGTAAGGTTAATTAAGGACTAAATCACTCAAATACCCAAAATTAAAATCAATGATCACTCAAATTGTTTTTATTGCAACCAAGAACTATTAAAAAAAATGTCATCATCAATTTATTCTTGCTTTGGCTCAATTTATTTTTTTAAAAAAAAACTCTAACCATCGAGTCTCTGTGATTATAATTAACTATAATCAAGGCAACAGATACATTAATTTTTACAACTATTATAGTTGACACCTTCACAATTTGTTAAGTTTTGAAAGTTTTATGAAGAGAAAATTACCTATATATCATTCTAATTAATAAAAAAATTCTGAAAACAGAAATTATATTAATTGAGTTGCAAAATTGTTTTGGAGTAGAAAAACAAAATATGATGACGAATTAATGGTAAGTTACTTATCTCTTGTACCCCAACCAGACAAATTAGCAATCTTCATCAAAGCTTCTCTCCATCTTTGCACTTTATCATCTGGAAATCTAACTTCATGCTTCTCAAAAGCTGTTGAAAATTTCCTTTTCTGACATTGTACATCAATTGGATATATGCCATAAAAAACTGGAAAAATTGTTCGGCTCGAGTCGTTTTTGGATTCTACGATCTTCTGCAATTCATCGAAACACTAAGAGGAAGAAGAATAATTCTTGGAGGGCACAACAATCGCAGACATAGATTGCTCAATAGCTTGGACGAGTTTGTCCGAAATAACTTCTCCTCTGTGAAGATCTTCATCATCCCTAAGAGTTACAATTCGTTGTCGAAGCAAGCTAAAGTATAAGTGATCAGGGAAGTTTGTGCGAGTGTCGTTACCTTTAAAACTCAAGAAAACATGATACTTCATCGGAGAAGTTGAAGCCATGGAAGGACCCGGAGCAGCCATTGGAGTGTTTGGGTAAATTGGTAAAAGGGAGTGAAAAGGTAAAATCACCCTGAAATCTGAATCAACCAGCCTCTTGGCTCATGTTTTAATCAAAAGTCTGAATGTCCACCAAACCTAACCCCCTAATAATTAATATTATATTCCTGAATACCGATCACCCAATGGTTAATGTTCTTGCCGCCAGTCGTTGAAATCAGAAGAGATTTTTATGCTTCTTGTGCGAATGTTTTGGACTTGTTTGGTGTAAAATAGAAATGGAAAATAGAATAATGGAATATTGTGCAATATGTTATTATTATAGGTGATGATTGCTAAAATATGATCATTTATTTAAATTTAAATTTGCAATGGTGCGAGTCACTAGCCTTTTTGTTAAACTTAACTGGTAAGTAATGTAAAAATTGTTTGGCCAAAACAAGGCAATGTAAAAATTTTATACAGTTGACACTGGCCAAACTGAACAATGGCAGCTTAAACATGTCATTAATCTGATCACGACATGAAGATTTAGGTTAAGCATGTGCTTAGGGAGGGTAATGCTAGTCCGGATTGGCTTGCGTGTGAATCATGATTGATTTATGGTGATGGAGATGTCTTTTGTACTGTCCCTTTTGGTGAATTGAGGTTCTTGAGAAATTTCTGTCCTCATTTTGGGTACTAATAAATAGCAACATTTGGGTTTAGCCTGTTTTTTAACCAATGAAATAAAAAAAAAGGGGGGGGGGGGGCGCTATAGCTCTACAAATTTGCATACAAAAAAAGCCAAAAAAGAGCCTTATAGCATCATATATCCGCCACCCACGGCGATACACCCCTTAGGATTAATGGGCCCGGCCCACCCGTACCATGGTGCAAATGTGGCAATGTATTTTTAACTCTAGATATAGATATAGATATGGAGAGATGCTACTCCGTTTCTTAGGTTTTGGTGAATAGATACTACTTCGTTTTTATTTATAAAAAAAAATTATTATTTTTTATTTATTTTTTTATATAAATAAAATCACATATTTCAATAAAATTTATTACACATTTCCTACATCATCCTTTATAATTTACATTAATGAGAAATAATTAATACATACTTATATTAATTAATATAAGGTATTTTAATTCAATTTCTTTATTTTTAGGCATAACTATTATAGTTAACTAACTTTTTTAAATTGTGTGTTACACTTTTCTTCTCTTATATATGTAGAAATTGAGGGAGTATATACACACACACATTTAAACTTAAAAAAAATCATTTATTTACTTTTAATTATCTAGTAAAGTTCAAGAGAATGACAGAGAAATTTGAAAAAGACCAATTAACTTAACTTAGATTTTAAGTGCCAAATTTTAAAAATTTGATTTGTAACTTTTTTTAAAATCTTAACATAGTTATAGGATAAACAAATTTATTTTTCTGTTAAAATTTAAAATATAAATTACAAATTCATCACAATAATTATAAAATTGAGAGTTAAACTAACAAATTTTTAGAGTTTAATATTTGGGATCTAAGTTAAATTAATTGATCTCTTTGGAATTTATCAGTGATTCTCCCAGGATTTGTGTCACATAAACCAATCTGAGTTATTAGTTACTAGAACTCCAAGCACATTGAATTTGAACATATCATTTTTATAAATGGAGATAATCAAAATTTTAGTCCTTCAAATATTGATTGGGCATCTTAAGTTTAATTTTTATTAATTTAGTCTCTTATATTTTTTTTAAATTATCATATGAGACTTTTAATTTTTAAAATATAAATTAACTCTCAAAAATCAAAATAATCTAATATATAAAGTATATTGACAACTTCACATGTAAATATAGTTAAATAAAAATAAATTAAATCTTAAAATAATTTAATTTTTATTAATATAACCCTTTATAAACAGACACTACTGAACCATTTCCCAATTCAATCAGCAAAGCCAATTAGTCTGGCCTCGCTTTCAAAATAATAATATTAATTGATAATTTAAATTGTTCTGAAAGATAAGACAGGAAAATAAATGTCTGAACTTGTTAGACAATATAACCACACAAGAGTGCGGTGATAATTTTTCCCAAAAAAATTGGGCTATTTAAAAAATCTTTTGCAAAATATTCCTCTAATTCTTATTAGAAATCGCTTTTTAGAAGAATTTTTTTATCTTTTATATAAATCATATAGAAAGTTATTAATTAAAATTTTTCAATTTTACCCTTAAAAAGTCATAAAAAAGCGATCACTTAATTCTAATTTAATATTTTTATATGACTCCTTGAGCTATTCCTTGGTTTGAGTAAGGTAAGGTAATTGAAAGTAATTTATAATAAGGATTGGACAAAACGAGTATTGATTTCCATAATGTATAAATGACAAACACAAATTATCTTCCTAAAAATATTTATATTAACATCTCTCTACAACTTTTGAGATGTTTTATACCATAGACCTCATGCATTAACCTTTATGATCTTTTTCCCAGGTCAAACCATCAAGTATCCGATACTATGGCAACACAAATTGAAGAACATAATGGGATTGGATCTTTAAGTTAAAGAAAACTTTTTCAACATGTTTTTTTTCTTCTCCGGTGGATCTTGACGTTCAACTTTCATGTCTTATATATCCTTTCTTCAACGTCTTGGCCAACTGGACATATTAACTCCTCGGTGTACTCTGTTCATCCAGATCATCCAGGCAAATATGTCCCCCTAAAGCTTGAACTATCTGTTATTTGAATGAAAATAAGGCTAAATTCAACATAAACTATTTTTTTATATAAATGAGTAAGTTTCCCTTACAGAGTGAAGTAGATCTCAATTTCTCTATCCAGCTTCTATGTTACTAATACTTTAATCTATTAGTAATATTAACAATAACAATTTGTTATAAAATAAATAATATATAAAAGATCAACATTTATTGATTTAATTAAAAATAAGAATTTTAAATACATAAGGTTAAGCATATAAATTTTTTTCTTAAAAATATTAATGTAGAAAAAAAAAAGGATTTTTGTGACGGTTTTGTTTTAGCAAGATATTGTTGATATAATGACAACAATATAATCCTGTGGTGAACAAGGGTCTGAGCACTTGGACTAAAGTTAATAGTGAACTCTAGAGACGCATCTGGAAGCTCAAAATACCTGTCAAGATTAAATTCTTCCTATGAAAGGCTTCTAAAGGAGCTCTCCCTGCCCAAGAAAATCTGTGGAAACGAAGGTGTGCTTCTAATTCCCCTTGTTTTTTCTGCTGTGATAATTTTGAAACTGTGCTGCAAATCTGAAATCCCCCTTTGGTTGTGAAGCTTTGGCTATTTTCTCGGCTGTGAAATGGTGAGCTGATAATGCTCTTTCAAATATTGTTGTTATGTCAAAATGTTTCCCTGTAGTTGAAGCTGTCGACAATTCTGGCTTGTCCAGAATGGGAATTTTTAGCTATAGTGGATAATCTTGTGAATCTTGGGTACACAGCACACACGAAGCTAATGTCCCTTTCAGTGGATCGCAAACAAACCTGTAGATTGGATTGCTCGAGCTGCAGTGAGAGGATGTGTTTTTGGGATTGGGCCTATAAGCCCTCATTCCAACGGGCTTCTATCATAGATCTCTTTCTATTTAAATCTAAAGGGCCTGAGCTTTAAAAAATGAAGTATTAAAAAAAACCAGACTTAAGGGCCTGAGCTTTTAAGTGTCGGCCCCACTTATTTTCCAACTCTATTCAAATCTAGGAATTAGTCTGACTTAGTTTTTTGCTTTTTGTTTGTCATTTTGTTTTTTTTTTATTGCTCTAGTTGTGAACCTTTGTTCTTATATTTTCTAGCAAAAAAAAAAATGACATCGCAGGTGGTCAATGCTAACATTGCTAGCAATTTATGGTATGTTTAGTATATATGAATGTATTATAAAAAATGAGAATAAGAATAAAAATGAAAATATGATATTATATTGCTTTGTTTGGTATATTTTAAATGAAATTAAATAGAAATATTTTTGTATTACTATGTTTAGTTGAGTTAGAATACGAAAGGAAGAGAAAAAATATAATAAGAATGGCTCAAAATACCCTAGTAATGAAAGTTTTCGAACACATGTTGAAAGTTTCGACTATGCCCATCCCAACTCGTTTTAGCCGTGCGAAAACGGGTAGGGCATAATGGTCCTTTTGAAAGAAAATAAAATAAAACTATTAGTAATCAAAAGCTGCACTCCCACCACTGCTATTTTAATATAAATGACTTGCAATGCGGACAATAAACATAGGTCATCACTCTTCTGCACAGTACTGTTTTAATTTCATTTTAACTTCCTTCTTCCTCATTCAAGCAAACCAGACGTAGCTTTAGTGTTATGGGAAGCTCATCAGTCATGGCCCGAAATTCATGTCCAGTCTCTAGAATCCCAACATGAAGCTTCTCTCTAGGTCAGGTACCATTGCTTGTCTCCAAGGTAAACTTACCAATGTTAATGTTATGTTTGAATGTATGTGAATTTAGATTTGAATTAATCAAATTTATTATTTAGATAATTAAAAATATATGGATTTGGATTGAAATCCAAATCTAAATTTTACTTTAATCCTTTCATAATTTAAAATTATTTTTAAACTTTTATTATTTTAAATTTTCATGAAAACTTCTTTCTTCCTTTACGTTCGTTTGTCAACATTATTATTTTCTCAACTTTGATATCATCAACTAGGACCAGACAGCTACCTTTGATTGAGATCGCACAGCCACCTTGATTAGGATCAAACTATTAGGGTCAATCAAGTTTAAAAATTTTAAATTTTAATTCACTTTTAATCACCCTCCTTTGCTACCCAGTACCCGTTTATCGTTGTCGTTGTCATATAATGCCAGCTCACTGTTGTCATCTGATGTCAGCCCACTACCACCACCTAGTGTTGGACCATCACATCCAAATGGTGTCAACCTGTTACTGCCATTGCTAGAGGATCGATCTATGATCACTGTCTTCGATCCATTTGCGTTCATCATTGTAACATCCTAATTTTATTTTTAGATTTAAGTAATATTAAAAAATAAAAATTTCAAGGTAAATGAAAATTATCATGTAATTATTTGAATAAAAAAATTTATTCAAAACGAGTTAAATTTTTGTGAACTTAATTCTAAGTCATAGCTTTTAGAAAAAGGAAGAAAAAATAGTGTAGTTAGTTGCGATGAAAACATTATTTAAAGTATTTTTCTAAATTAAAATGTTATAAATATTTAAATATTATGAAGATGTTATTTGAACAAAATACACAAATTTAACTCAATTCTTTAAATTTTGTAGAATATATATATATATATATATATATAAATTACGCATGGAATTTTAAAGAAATAAGACGAGGAAGAAAAGAAAATATTGAAGGGTATTGTGGGGTTGGATGAGACCAATGGGCCACAGGCTACAGCCCATTAGTCATGCCATCTAATATTAGATGGCAAACAATCTCATCAGTCATCCCCTCCCACATTTCATTGTCCGAAACGGACAGACAGAAGAGGAACAGAGAGCCTTCACGCGAAACAGGGTGTGCGTTCGGCTGAGGGAGATATTTTAGGGCTTCATTATACGATACTTTGAGGGTGTTTTGAAATTTTTTTAAGACTAGGTAAGTATCCTAAATGTTTTTCTAAGCATATTTTTAACTTTGTTTCTGGATTTCTTGACAGTGGAAAAATTGGGATTTCCATGATTTCAAATTTGGGACGGTTCTAACGGATTACTTTGTGTTTAAACATGTTAATGAGGTTAAATTAAGTGTTTAGTGAGTCAAGATTTGTTCAAATGTTTGGTTTGGAGGATTTGATGTTAACGTTTGTAATAAAGCAGAGGTTTAAAGTAGTTGATGATAACCGTTTAAATTTGAATTTAATGCCTTCTGATTATATAAATTGAAATTGAGATTTAGTCCGCTTAGCCTTTATTATTTGGACTTGAATTGGAATTTGGGAATTTTTAGAGAACCCATAGTATTAGAAGTTGAGGATTTGGATTGTTGGAGTTAATTATTACTTAAGACTTTGTTAATTGGTTGTGGGTAACTTAGAAATACTTGTTAGAAATTAATTGTGGGGTTGAATTACAAGTTTAAATAGTTTTTCTACTCATGGATGAATTAATTTGAATTTTGGGATATTTTTTTTGCATGAGTAATCTAGATATTATTTGGTTAAAAAATTATTATGGTTTAAAAATTTGGGTAATAAGGATTTTATGTTCAAATCTTCATGGTAATTGAATTTGATTTGAGCTATCACTAAGTACTTGAGATTCTTTATTTAAAAAGGGTTTTTTTTTTTGGCAAAATTGCGGCAAAATTGTAGGCCTTCTAGTGATTTTTGGAAGTAACTTGAAAATGAATAAAAGCTTGTGAGTTGTTTGGAACTATGAGATTTATTTGGTATGCTTAAAACAATGATTGAGAAATTGATAAATAATTTCAAAAGTAACATGCTGGGTGATGAATACTAATTGAAGAAATAACTAAAATTAAGGGTATAGTGTGAAATTGGGAATTGAAATAGAGATTTGAAAATTTGGTTGGAATTAAGGACTTTATGTTGTAAATTCCATTTACTAGGATTACTATTAATGTGCATGTAACTAATTATATAGATTAATCTTGTATTCAAGCATGGACGTTTGTGGCTTGCTCAAGCCATTTAAGCTATTGGAGTGAGGTAACTAGGGTTGATTTTGTCATGTATGTTTATGTGAACTACTTCCATGTTTTAATTTTTAAACTACCCCAACAAAAAATTTAAAATACATAAATTTTAAATATAAAATTTAAAATGTAAAATTCAAATCTAAAAGTCAAATCCAAATGCATCAATCCATAAAGAAATCCCACTTGATAAATAATTTAGATCAGTACAATCACGTATTAAGCAAGCCCAAATACTTTGTATACTCTACCTGTAAAACTCAACGTAACCAACATTATTTATTTAATGCATGATCAGTGATAAGTGCATATTTTATAATTAAATGGGTATAGATTTTAGTTTGAATTTGATTATATTTATTAAGATTTCATATCTATTTAATTGATATTTATATATTTTTCTCTCATCACTTAATTATGAGATAAAAAGGAATTTTAATACAAAATCCACTCATATCTTTTTATCTATACCTTTTTATCTTTATATTTTGCAGAGAAAAAGAATAAACCAAATAGAAGAAAAGAAGAAAAGAGAAATATATATATATATATATATATATATATCAAAGTCCCACATTGACAAAGAAAAAAAAAAAGAAGGAGCCTCCACTTTAACTATAAATACTCCCTCCACCAAGAGGAAAGGCATCCAATCACTTATTGAGTATCTCAAGAATTCTCTCTGAGATATTTGGAGCTCGTCAAGGCTGAAAGCGAGATCATTGAGGAGTTTCATAAATTATAATTATTTCTCTTCTACTCCTTAATTTTCTTTGTGATCATTTTTCATGATTGGGAATTTTAGAACAGTTTTATTTAATTTTATTATGTGTTTCTAAATTACCCAGTTGGGATAAGGATGTAGCCCAATTGGGGAGCTAGTTTTCTATTTCCTTTGTTTTGACTCTTTGCATTTATATTTATGAATATTTTTGCTTTTGCCAATTATATTTATTTCTCTTGTTCTTCATATTGATTTAATGACTGGCCACCATTTAATCAAATCTATGGGTAATCTTGATGGACTGGGAGGTGAAGAGAGAACCTAGATTTAGAGAAATAAACATAAATAACTAAGCTAGGGATAGTTCTAGGAATTTATGATGACTTAAACTATAGCTTCAAGGTTTAATTAGTTGTTTAGGTATCGTGGGAACGAATTCAACACTAATTAAAAAGGGACTAATAATTCGAGAGAATATTAGGACATTTTAGGAATAGTTGTCACTATAATTGATCCGAGTCAACTCAAAGGGTAGAAACTAGCAACCTATAGGGTGAATCCTAAATCCCAACGCTTCAAGTGATTGCATTTTTATCATCATTATTTTCTTGATTTATTTTTATTCCTTATATTTTTATCAAAATTATCCATTTTATCTATTTTTCTCAAATTATTAATTATTTAAATTAGTAAAAGTGTAACTTCTCTGTGGGTTCGATACCTGGAATACTCCGAATAATTTATTACTGTAATCTCGTACACTTGCGAGAACGATGAATCAGCTAGCCAGCCTTCACATTAATTATATTCCACGTATGCATATATCAGAAGTAGAGTGTTGTAATTAATTAGACTCACTGGTAATAGTGGTAAGTTCCGCTGTGTATTCACGAGTGCCGCCTACGCCTTCCCATGTCATCTTCCACCGCTTCTTCAGGTCATCGCTATTCTGACTCATCCTTGTCATCTTCTCCTTCACATTTCCCAGTTTAATATTTCCCAGCAAAGCTTGAACTACCTGCTTTATTTCATTCAGTTTATCATGCGTGTTAATGCCAGTGCTGGATATACCTTGTATATACATAAATGAGTTAAATAATGCATGAGTCATTTAAATGGGGAGAATGACAAAAACACTCCTAAAATATACAAATGATAATTAAGTACCGTCAGATGTGATAGTTATTACTTAGTCCCTTGTTTGACATCTAATTTTTTGATGAAATGACATATTTACCCCCAATAACTATATGTTATGCATTGGGAAGTAACTATTTCAATTGAGTTATTGACTAAAACAGAATAGAAAATGATGGTTACTTTGTTTTTGCAAATTTTGTTTATTAGTCCAGTGCAAATACTAAAAAATGATTACTTACTTTCTACAAATTTTTTGTCAATCAAATATAAATATTAAAAATTAGTGACTATTATATGTTGGGAAATAATTACTTTGATTGAGTTATTGACTAAAACAAAATTTAGAAAATGACTACTTCCTTTTTTTCAAATTTATGCTTTATAAATGAATTAGAAAATGACTACTTTAGTTACATTTGATTGATAAACTTATTTGTAGAAAGGAAATAGTTATTTTTTTATATGTTTTATTCAATAACCCAATCAAAGTAGTTATTTCTAACGTCATTAAGAGCAAATGTGTTATTTTGTCAAAAATCAAAATGGCAGACAAGTACTCAGTGACTAAATATTATTATCATATTTTGTACTTTTTTTGTCTTATTTATAAGGTAGAAAGAGAAGAATTTTTTTTATTTTATTTATAAGTCACGTCATTAAATTTTCATTACAAATTTTTTCTTTTACCTCCATTGAATGTTGAAGAGAGAAAATATATTATTAAAATATGTATGTTTAATAAGAGTAAAGTTAAGAACTTATTAAATTTTAAAATGAAGTTAATGAGTTTTAAGATTTTTTTTAATCCTGATAAAACATATGGAAAGTGACTTATAATTATGACTAGAAGAAGAATACTTAATTGTTTTTTTTGCATATTTCAGGGTTTTTTTATTTTTCCATTTTAAATTTTACCATTTAAAAAAAATTGCCGGCAACATTTGAATTTTTTTGTTTGATTACCCTCGATCCAATATTATTGAATTAGATTTAAGCATTGTTAAGCCTAGTTAAATGCAGTTTTACGCAAAAAAAAAAAAAATTAATGCTTCGCATTCATGTTTAACCTGCCATCACCACTCCCACTTAAATCAATTAATGTTGGTTCACGAACCTATAACTTGCTCTCGATGAAGCAATATTCAACTCCAAAAACAAAAAACAAGAAACAAGGAATATAGAACGAGCCAGTACGGAAACATATTTTTACACTTTGGTTCACGAACCTGGCTCATCCGAGGACGATGCCCGGCTGAATGGCTCACGCAATTTGCAGCGCAATCAACCATTCGATTCATCTCTTCTGGGTTGTAATTATTCTGCAGCCTTGGATCAGCAATACCTTCAAAGTTTCCATTTTCCAGGGCTTGGAACAGTAAAGGTCTTGCCTGTATAGGATTTGTAACATGTATGAGCAAGCGCAATATCAATCATCTCAGGTTTTATATTAGCCTGTATAGGTGACACTCAAGTTATCTCAGGTTTTATATTAGCTAAGGAACTTCCTTTTTATTTTTGGCCCCCTGGTTCAGGACATGAATGCAGCACAAATCACTCATCTAGAAACCATATAAGAGAAATATTGAAGAATGTTACATACCCAATCAACCATACCATCTGTGAAAGATTCAGTCTTACTGAGAGGTTCCCGTCCACTAATCAACTCCAAAAGCACGACACCGAAGGAGAAGACATCTGACTTCTCTGTGATTTTCCCGATAGCTACACATTCTGGAGCTATGTATCTGTATTAATTCAGTGAAATACAGAGTTTCATGAAGATTGAAACAAGCAATTAATAATGTGGAGGAAAGTGGGGAATATTCAAAGAAAGTGTGCAAGATATCCAGTGTGGCAATATCCATGCGTACTTGTAGTGAGGTTCAAATGAAAATATGAGAAAAGAATAATAAGACCAACCCAAAGGTCCCCGCTGCTTGATTAGAGACATGGGTATTAGTGTCTGACAAACACTTGGCAAGTCCAAAATCTGCAACCTGATTAATACACACACAAATATTATCATATGCATCTATTGGTGGGTTATCCGCCTTGGTAATTTAAGCCTAAGCCCAGGGCACTATCAGAATATAAAAAAGAAATGCGGGTCATTATGTGAAGTTTTTTCTTTCTGTTTGAAAATGGGAGGAAACAGTTTTATAACTGTTTTCATGCAAGAGAGGCATCATACGTGAGTTTTATAACAGTGTATGAAAACTGGTTTTGAGTGTGTTCTCTGAAATCCTTAAAAACGCTGTCTTGTTTTTCTCTCTCTCTCTCTCCCCCCTTCTCTGTAAGCGTATTTGTTGTGAGCCCGATTTGAATTCACATGGTAATTCTGTTCCCGCGTGGAAACTAAACCGTTGCACTCATATTAGGTATGTTTTCTCCTCTATCTACTCACATTTTTTTGTAAAATTGAAGGTTCTTGAACAAGGAAAATAAGGGTATTAAAATTAAACTTGCGGGTATTAAAACTTGCATTTTATAGATTTTAGTGTTTAGAGAGGTGATTATGTATAGGTTAGAAGAAATCTATTTCGTTAGGATATATTATTTATAAAAATTTATTTTGTTAAACACCATCCAGTCTCTTTTCTAAGCTAAAACTACTTGTGGAGGAACATGTTCAACACCAGTAACTCAAATATCCAAGTTAAGCATTTCATATCAAAAGAGTACGATACTTTTTCCAATCTGATTTCCTTTTCTATTGACTTTTTTTAAGTGATCGCATGGGGTACAAGAGACCTATACCTTTGGCTCAAAATCATTATTAAGAAGAATGTTGGCTGCCTTGATGTCACTGTGTATGACTCTGGGTTTGCCTAAAACAATATTGAAAGAGGTAAAAATTCCAGGAGCAATTACAGTGAATTAGCAGGGTAATGACGATATCAAGTATAAAACTCACAGTCTTCATGCAGATAAGCCAATCCTTTTGCAGATCCAATAGCAATCTTCATCCTTGTTGTCCAGTCCATAGTTGGTCTGCCTTTTCCTGAATAATTGTGTGTATATATATATATATATATATATATAACCATATATAGTATCTTACTGATGAGGACTAAGTAAGACCAGGCATGATTTCACTTAAATATTGTAAGAGATATTTTTCAAACAAATGTGCATCAGCACAAAAGCACACATTTAATTTATTCAGCTAAACAACTACTCCGGATTAACATTGCATTGCTGAACAAATTAAAATTATGATCTTTCGTTGATTAAAAAAATTGATTTTTCTGCATGCTTATTATTGGCAGATTCAACTCTTCAATGCGTTTTATAATGAATATTAGGCATGAGTAACAACCGCTCAAAAACTGAGAGAATAAATGGGAGAAGACTAGTAAAAAACATACACCATATCTTAACTCAAAACCTCAATATTAAAGTTTATATATTCTCTAATTTTATTATATACTATTTATGAAACCTAATTTTATTTAATATGAGACTTTTTACATTTAATTATGTCTATTTACACTTGTACAATTTCACAAACACTGGCTAATAAATTGGAAGTGTTACCATGCAAGTGAAATTCTAGAGTCTTGTTGGAGACAAACTCATAAACAAGCATCATCGTCCTCTCGGCTGCAGAAAAGCAGTGTCCAACAAGGGAAACAAGATTTCTGTGATGAACTCGGCTAAGGATCTCAACTTCAGCCTTGAACTCACGCTCTCCTTGCTGGCTTCCAGGCTTTAGCTGCTTTATTGCGACAACTCTTCCATCTGGGAGGACTCCTTTGTGGACATAGCCAAAACCACCTCGACCCAGCAAGTTTGACTCTGAGAACCCGTTTGCTGCTTGTGCTAAGTGTTCACGTGTAAACAGTTCTAGAACATGACACATGGAGGGCCAAAATGAAAAATTTATGAAAGTGGGTAGGCCCAAACTAGTATTTTCATTTTTTTTCAAGTAAAAATGAAGAAAATTCTACCAAAAATTTGCGACATGGGGGGCAAGTCCGTCAATGTATGTAAATATGATTTGTGACAATCCAACGGGTGAGAATCCAGTTGACAAGCAAGCCAATTGGCGAACATATTCACTACTCTCAAACCATGATGAATATTTGTTTCAAGCATCCAAATTAGATAGCTTTCCAAAGAACCCATTCGTGAAATAATTATAAGGTTTAATTTCAAATTCCGTACTCAATTATGAAAATTAAATTTTAGAATTTGAAGAGAAAAATATGTTAATTTTACATGAATAATAGAACAATATTTATTAATAACAAAACTTATCATGTTATTGATGTTATTGTTGAATAGCATCAAAATAAAAATAATTTTCAAGATTTGCAATCTAGAACAATCTGAGTCATTTCCCAAAGACTTAACTAATTAAACCAGGATTTTTTTTTTGGAAACCAAATAAAACAAAAGTCAAATTAACACACTATAATGGGGGGTTTTAGAATTTAACATTTAACTATAATTTATTAACTACACTAAGATGTAATTGTCCTTGTCCAAATTAAAATTTGATTCCTTTGGTTGAGATTCCTTTAGAAAATTTTAAATTAAATTCTTGAATATTAATTCAAGTTTTATGCCTTTATCTATTTTAAAGTCAAATGACAACTCATTCAAACTTTAAACTAAAATTAAGCAACAATTAATCCTGGAATTTACACATATAGAGAAAATTCATCAATTTTATCCTCCAATTTCCCTCTCAAACCCCTAATTAATCAAATAGAAGCTTATAGCATTTCAATATTCAAGAATGATAGTAAAATATTGCTACAACCTCATAATAATAGGGAGAATATTTAAGAGAGAGAAAATAATGGTAAAAGTAATATTAAAAAATATCATTAATAAAATTTTATTTTATCAAAGTATTTTATTGTTGAGTCACAAATTTCTTTTAAAAAGTATCTTAGATGAAGTGTAAAGCCTAAGAATTAGGATGGAACTCAGGTGCAAGAACCCAAAAAGGGAGTTGAAATTACGGGGATGATGGCAGTTCAGTATACAGTAATAACACTAGTATTGAAGAGCCACGAACATGAAATAATATTTTTTAAAGATAAATAAAATCGTATTTTAAAAAATAAAGTCATTGACTAAAAGTTTGAAATTTTAAATCTAAATTATTTAAAGTAAATGAAGTGTGTTTGGATTAAAAAAAAATCTGCAACTGAAGTTATAATCAACTGAGATTAGTAAATTGATGTTAAAAATATATGATTTAATGTAATTTATATTTGAATACCTTTTTTTTAAGTTAGTTGGATAAATTAAAATTTATTTGAATAATTTGATTTAAAAGCCAGTTGAGATATGACAAAGATGGACATGAATTTTTTTTTATATTTTTGTGATTAATTTAATATCTTTAAGAAAAAATATTAAACTTAAAATTAAAATGTTAAAAAATGGTTAAAAATATAAAATACATTGATAAATCAAAAATCTTAATTTTTAAAAAGGTAGAATGGAAATAAAATTCAAAATATTCAACAAAAAGATAAAATAAATCATTAATTACAAAATATTCAATTCTAAAAAATAAAATAAATTCATAAATTGTCACTTATTAATTCTAACAGGGATAATAAAAATTTATATTTTATTTTTTCAAAAAATGTATAACTATAAACTGAGCATTCCAATTAATATAAATCATAAAAAAATCTAATAAATGTGATAAAAACCAAATATTTGTCACAAACCACGGAAAGTAAAATAAATTGTAGAGGAAAGGATTTGAAAAAAGTGAGCCCAAGAAACGATGGTTTCCTTTATCAATATAGTCCAACTCTTTGACCATTTGATGGTCAAAGGAGGAAGCTTCCTCGTCGTAAGAATGAGCTATACAGTGCTACACATACAACGTGAGAATAAGAACTAATGTAACCATCGACAATCGACCTCCATAGACGGTGACGGCAGCCCTAACGGAACCATGGACCTCCACAGACAGCAACTACACCGAGCACAGACACTGTCAAAGACGGCAGCAAGAAGATGCTGGAGCCAACAACTGGTGAAGTGAAGACGTACGGAGGAAAGAGGAAGAGACCAGCGAGCTATCAGCGGGTGAGGAGAGGTGAGAGGAGAGGAGGAGAGAGAATCTGATAATAATTTTTAATGCTCCAACCCTCGTTTAACTTTTTTTTTTTTTTTCAGCCAAACAAGATATCAGATTTTCTAATGAGCTTTTCACCCCCCCCCAACCGATCATCCTAACCTCAGTTAGGAGGTAAACCAAATATGCACGAACACAAACTCTGTGGGGATGAAGGAGAGGCTCTGGCAGATGCAGGAGTTTGAGACAACAGATCTTGATAACAATGAGGATTTGAACACAGTGAGACAAATTCTATATCGTCTAATCAACATACTGAAGATGGGATAATGCTAAAAAGAAAAATCACACACAGACACAGCTTATATCAACAGTACAAGTTTACCTGTTGATTGGTACGGTTGTGGATCAGCCGTAGAGGCCAGAGGGCTTGTCCTGCCCTAGTAGCCTCATCCTTCCTCCTCTCTTTATCCAGACAAAGAACAAAATGAAAAAAAAGCCCGAAAATAGCAATGAACCCAACAGCGTCACCCTCCGCGATGTAGAAGGCAGTAACGCTTTGATCAGGGAATTGACAAGGGAAGTAGAAGCCGGAGGAGGGGCTTGATTGGTGGGTTCAGGCCGCAGATGCGGTGAAGGTGGTGCAGTGGCTGTTGATGGCTTGGTAGATACTGATCTGGTGGCAAGGCACAATGAGACGAGAGCCAAAGACACAGCTATCACGGGCATGGTACGTTGAAGTGCCATGGCCGGGGGAAAAGAGAGAACGATCGGGAGTTGAGGAGAAAGCAAGAAAAGCACTGGAGAATTGGCTCTTTAGTCTTTATAAGAATAGAGATGCGTGTTATGAAGAATCACTGATTTTGGCGGAGTCAGGAGCTTAAGTAAGGGGTGCAAGAGCATGTAATTTAAAAATTAATAATTTAAAAATAATTTTTTAAATTTTTAAATTTAATTACATTTGATAAAAAATGTTATAACATAAGTAAAATTATACATATTTTTATATGAAAAAAATATATTAAGATTTTTTTATCAAAAATATCTTGAGAAGGCTAATATGAAATTTAAATGTGAAACTCTAAATATTTTTGATTGAACCTCAAAAATTTAAAATATTAAAAATATAGGATGTAAGGTTGTAAATTTTTTATATTACAGGCATAATTTTTCTCATGTTGGGTGGATCCTGCACATAAAACTCGCGCGACTTCTGGTCTAGTCAGCGGGTTCATCCAAAAAAGACAAAAAACAAAATAGAATTTTGTCAAAAGGTGAAGAAGTGTCAAAAGGTGAAGAAGTTTGTCAAAGGGGGAGGAAGTTTGTCCTTTTCTTATTTTGAATATACTGTCCAATTCTCACTGTTTAATAAATTATTATTTTAGAGCTCAAGCGTTCCCACCTGGCCAGTCGATGGAAACCAAGAAAGACAACGCGGCAAATGTCTCTGGACAAGACATTGTCCCGGTTCTGCTTTATCCTAACGGTTTAGGGTCGAACAAATCATAATGGAGGGAAGATTATTACTACATGACAGTCTGCTTTTCATATTGGGCAAGCGTCACTGAAATAAAAATGTTTACTTTTTGCCCAAACACCAAAATATTTACATCTTTTCGACCCTTCACAGCTCCCATCCAGGCAACGCTTGCAAATATTGACACACATGGTCATATGACAACACAACAAAGCACCACATTTCTTTCAAAATTATTTTGAAAAAACATATTAAAAAATCGTGAGAAAAAAAATTTCTCTCAAATTTTCTCTCAAAAAATTTAAATAAGTTAAAATTATAAAAATTTTTATTTTCTCTCAACATATTTTGAGAGAAATAATTCCTCTTAAATTAATCTGAGACAAAATATTTCTTATAAAATAATTTAAAAAAACTTCTCTCAACAAAATTTGAGAGAAATTTCTCTCAAATATATTTGAGAGAAATATTCTCTTAAAATTTTTCGTGAGAATTTTCTCTTGAAAATATTGTGAGAGACATTTCTCATGAAATATATTAAGAGAAATTTTGTCACAAAATTTAGATAATATATTAAAAATTAAGTCTCCCCCAATCACCTCTCACATGTGAGCCACATTATGCACATCACTTGCCATGAATGTGTCATGGCTGTATTTATTTTACAAATATATATCTTACCTTAGAGTAGAATCTAAGACCTTGGCTTCACCTTTAATGTCTGCCTTTTGCCAATTAAGCTACAATGGATTTGAGGTCTTAAATTAATAAAATTAAATATATATTACTAAAATATACATTTTTATAAGGTTTATATTATTTTATTTTAAAAAAATAATTTAAAATGTAGCATATTTTAAAATGATTTTAATTTATTTGACTTCAAAAAATAATTTCAAATTTTTTTAGTAATTTAATCGGTAATTTTATAATATCCTATTTAATTTACTTGATTTAAAGTTAAACTATATTAAAATTTAAATATTTTTTAATTTATACACTTTTTTTTCAATTTTAATTTTTAAATATTTTAAAAATATTTTTATAAAATTATTTAATATAATTTATAATTATATTTAAATTTTTATTTTTTAGAAAACACTTTTAATAGTAACAATTTATTATCACTAATTTTGAAAAAAAAATTTACCCAATAAGTGGCCAAAATGTTTTGCATTCCAAAGAGAAAAAATTGTCCAGCAAGCCTATAAAAAATTGTGAGCCAAAGTAATATGCTTGCATGTTATTCTTGCAATCAATAAAACTACAACTTAGTATTATTTTTTAGAGTTACTTAATTTTGTATATTTTAAAACGAACTAAGTTATATTAT